CAAAAAGGGAGAAAATTAATTTATTTTTGTTTAGATCAAGTTAACCGGGTACATGTTACCATGGAAACAAAAAACAAACGTCTGTATGTTTCTATATGGGCGGAGATAACTTCGCCCACTGCCTCATCGCCTTTGAAAATGTCCACCGCAGTTGTGGACGAAGCGTCAGGAAGAAATTCCGATAGACCACGGCTTCAAAGCCCGGAAAACATTCCTAAATGTAATTTGACCGGCCGTGAAAGCCTTCATAGTTTTGATGATGTTCTGTTTTTTCAACGTGTTCCGTGTCACAAAGTCCATCGCACTTTTCATATCGAACCTCATAGAAGAGGAAGGTTTATTCTATCTATTTATATGTACCTCTCGTATATTTAAACGATATCTGTTAATTTCTGTTTATAGTCGATGGAGGTTATAACATAAGGCCGTATTTATTAACTGCGTTACAACAGCATGCAAATCGTGCAGAACAATTATTCAACGAGTCGCATATACGGATAAGAAATATAATTGAGCGGATATTTGGTATCTGGAAAAGAGGATTCCCAGTCCTTGCATACCGTTGTCGTCTAAAAATAGGCACGGTCTTAATAATAAAATAATTGAGTTGAGAGCAAAATGAGGAACAGCCACCTGATCATGAAGATGTTGAACGCTTCATACATCTTATGCAAGAAGATGAAGTACCTAACATAAGCGACATATATAACAGAAACAATATATTGTTGCAAGGGAATCAAACTAGGAGGGGCCTAACTGATCCTATTTTAGATTCATTGATAAATAACGATGAATTGAATTGAAAGGAATGCTTTTGATAAAGGACCAAAAGTACTAAATTGAAATAACTTATGATGCATTACTAAAACAAATGGAAAATAGCATTTGCTTAAGTCTTTTTTAATTATTCCAATTCTAACTTTTCCTACTGAAATTCGAACAGGATTTTGTCCTCCTCTCTATTGGCTAAAATGTTTTGAAGCTCCTCTTCATAGTATAGCATTGTTCGCTTTCAACTGGGAGTCTAAGGTTTTTCCTTATAGGAGAAATATAGTCCGTTTTTTCTTTTCAAATGACTCCACCTTTAAGAATATATTATTAATTAATTACATTTGAGACGTAAACAGTAACGGAAACTCGCATTCAGTTCTAAGATAAAGGTTATTTTGGAAAGAAAAGGTGGGAGCAAAATCCAATTTGTCACTTTTAGCAATGTTGCCAGATAAAACATCATCTTAGCTAAGTATCACTTAATTGACAGCCGTGCAAAGCTGTCTGTAGTTAGGGTTAACTTTAATCCAAAGTTATCCCTAGCTAAGAATATGTTTTAAGGAAGACTGGTGCAAATGGCCGTGAGTGACATACCTAATTTGGTCGCAACTATCATCCAAAACCGCCTGTTAAAGGTTATGTATCTTTGATCAATATTATTTATCAAATGATATACAATTCTGTTGTTAAAACACAAGATGTAATCCCAAGAGCAAGACGTCCTGCCCGTTTAACTCCTAACATCTTTGCGTCTCAATAACTTTGAGTCTGGGCTCATGTTTTGCGCAGCTTCTTGTGTTCGGTTCATTAACTGCTGCTCAATTTGAACCGGTGTTCGGAAGGTCAGAGATTCAATGTGTTCTAGTGTTTCTAGTGTCCTGTGCATATTACTGATATGGTAGGAATGTAGGCCCTTCCTCGGGGGAGTTATCGGGACAATTAAGGATCCGGTGTTTGGGACAGTGCAGTTGTTGTGCAATGCTTTAACTAATCCAGGAAGGCTTAGCTGCAGTAATCTCCAATACATGTTCCTCTAGGTCTGGAAACCGAGAACTTTTAGATTGTCCACTATCTGCAGCCATTTCGGGCCACTCCTCTAGTGTGTAGCTCTTTGATGGTGTCATTTCTTACAGCTTCTGCTATCTTTCTGTGGAATTTTCCCATAACTAATCGCAAATTCGCTGTTGGTTTACATCTTGTGAAGGGATTTTTATACTAAGCCACAGTTTGACAAATGCTTGTTATTGCTGACAAAGGCTGTCTACCTGTAACAATCTGTTAATGACATAAAACATCATTGCCGCTTTGACTTTTCATCAAAAAATTGTAGAAGAGTAGTTTTTTGATATCAAAAATTAAAAAAAAAGTTATTTTTAAAAATTTGTAGAATATATTAACAGTTGAATTGAATATTGAATTTCAACTGTGTTTATAATTATTATTTAGAAATGTGTTTTAGCGTTTCTTCGTATTGCTATGAGTATGCCTGCTCCTGTGTTGGCTCTTTCGCATGTCTTCTTTTCGCTGTATGTACTTGGAAATATGTCCGGGGCATTTGGTACCTTCACTTTTTTTTTGTCTGGTTTCTGATACTACACAGACATCTATTTTGCGTTTCTCCGCTTCTAAGAGGATTTCGTAATCTCTGTCACTCCAGAATACGACGTTCCAAGATGCGCATCTGACCACTCGTTTCCCCCATTTCTGTTGATTATTTGTCTGTGTTGTGTTGGGCTTCCTGACCGAGTAATTTTCCTTATTCTAGCGTTGGTTTTTGATGTTAAATAATTCCTGTTCACATATCGGCAACGCAGGCGAAGTTCAGTAAGATGGATGAATAATA